TTCTCTGCTTTCTGTGTGGACACACCTGTCAGCTGAGCTAGAGCACAGATGATAGACTAAACAAAACAAAGAAAAATACATTATGAAATACTGTTGTACTAAAATCATGTAAGGTTGTCATTGTATTTCAATAAAAGAACTAATAGGCCATTAAAAACAAAAATAGTACAAGATACATTTATATGGGAACCTTTCGGATATATAGGGCAAATCATGAATGAGAAAGACATGAGACAATATATTACTCGTCAAAATAAGAGTTATGCGTGTCGGTGTTTCCACTGGAGTTGTTTCTGCCTATAGCTATCATCTGTCATAAATATCATCATTGACATAAAAAAGAATTTTGGTGAAACTGCATTAAATTAATTTTACAACATCTGTCGATTTAGAAGCTTTAAATGAACTTTTTTAACGTTTTTAGTTATGTTAACTTTGTATTTCTTGTTATGTTAACTTCGATACAGCAATGTAGTTTAGACAACATAAAATATTTCATTTTGGCACGTGAACTAATTTGATTAATTTGGTAAGTCGATATAACACAGCACTTCGTGTTATGCCTACGACTGTAATTAGTTAGATGGATGAACATGTCAAGACATGCGCATATCTCTAAAGTACAACGTCACATTTTTCTTTCTGTACTCACAAGAGCGGGAATTTCATTCAAACTGCTTCAGCAACGGAAGAAATTTATCTTAAAATAATGTGGGTACAAATTCTTTCTTGTCGACCTCTGTTTTAATGTGTCAGACAGACAATGAAAATTTATTAGTGGAGAGACCATAAATTTGGAATTTTCTCTAGGTGATGTTACGTGTAACCATTTTTTCTCCTGTTAAAATATGTTATCATTGTTTAAGAATAATGAGTTTGCATTTTACAAGATTGTTGGAATGATGGCATCTATACCCAGCAAACATTTGGACGTTTAATGACCGTTGAAATGACGTCCCTCCGACACGTCCCGTCATGGTTGAAAAATAGTTCCGAAATGAAAGTTGAACGGACGTCTTTGACGTCAACTTGCCGTGTATTCGACGTCTTTTCGGCGTCTTTTCTGGACGTCTAATGTGTCGTCGTCTGGATGTTTTTTAAGATGTCTTTCTGCGTTATGTCAGTGTACTTATTAGCCTGAATATAAACGTCCTTATTGTGAAATGCACATCAGAATATAAATGGTTCAAAAAACGTCCAAAATCAGTCCAGTCAGACCTCAACGTCTATACAACGTTTAATCGACGTTTACATTACAAAACATTTCTTATTTGTATTAAATAAGTAAAAAACATATATTTATATAACATATACATACATATAAATATACAAATAAATATATATAATATATTTAAATATTTGTGTGCATTATATATAAACACATACATACATACACACATACAAATATAAAAGTATACAACATTTTTAAACAAAGGCTAAATATATAGTAGAACTGTAAATAGTAACAATTAAACATTAGTTAAACAAGAACGAAAAGAACAAGAACAAGAACATGAACACACACATGAATTATTT